AAAGATTTAGAGTTAATCCTGATCTTTTCTCACAATATAAGAGTTTCATGGATGATTATTTGAATTTAAATCATGCCAAAATTGTCAATTACCCTGTAGAGGAGTTAAATAATGGTTCGATTTATTTCATGGCGCATCACCCCGTTATAAGGGAAGACAAAAAAACCACCAAACTCAGAGTTGTCTTTGATGGCAGCATGAAATCGAAACAAAAGAAATGTATAAATGACTTCTTGTACAATGGGGCAGTAGTCCAGAAAGACTTATTCGATATTCTTGTTTGCTTCAGAACTTATAAATTCGTAATTTTAACTGACATAAAACAAATGTACCGCATGGTTTTAATTCACCCGGAACACCGGCCATTGCAAAACATTCTGTGGAGAGATCATCTCGGTTCCTTACAGTATATTCAATTACAGACAGTCACCTATGGCTTGAAAAGCTCGTCTTTTTTAGCAACGAGGTGTTTGGCTGAGCTGGCTCACTCAGAAGGTAAAAAATTCCCTCTCGCAGCAAAAGCTCTTTTAAATAATACATACGTAGATGATATCTTATCGGGTTCTGACACAATTGAAGAGACCATAAAGCTTAGAGACGAATTAATTTCTTTATTGGGTTCACGATCATTTTTTCTGCATAAATGGTGTACCAATGAACCAAACATTTTGAGTGGCATCCCTAAAGATAAACAAAATTTCGATGAGGTTGATATGAGTAAGAATAATTTTACCGTAAAAACACTAGGCCTAACTTATGATACCATTTCTGATCATTTTAAATTGTCAACTCCTAAAGTTATGGACATCAATGAATATTTAACAAAGAGACAAGTACTCAGTTTGATCTCCAAATTTTATGACCCTTTGGGGTTGGCAGGCCCGATTTTGGTGGCAGCCAAAGTAATCATGCAAAAAATTTGGACATGCAAACTTAGTTGGGATGAAGTATTGCCCGATGATTTGTTGGACATTTGGAAAAGTTTTATAAAGGGTTTTATTAACATGCAAACTTTGGAGATTCCTCGGAATTTATATTTCACAAACGCAAATAGCATTGAGCTTGTAGGGTTTTGCGATGCGTCCATGATAGCATATGGAGCAGTCATTTATGTAAGAACATTTTTTCCTGACAGAGTACATGTAAATTTAGTTTGTTCAAAGTCTAGAATAGTACCTATAAATAAAAAACTTACCATTCCTAGATTGGAACTTAATGGAGCTTTGCTTTTAGCAAATCTGGCAAAAAAGGTGTCTATCTTATTGCAATCAAAAATTGATAAAGTATTTATTTATTCTGATTCGACCATTGTACTTGCTTGGTTAAAATCAGATCCTCTGAAATTAAACCCTTATGTGGCAAACAGAATTATAAAAATTCAAAACTTAACTTCAACTTTTAAATGGTTATATATTAACACGAAAGAAAATCCTGCCGATTGTCTATCCAGGGGTCTCGAGCCTCAGGAAATTGAGTCAAATAATCTGTGGTTCCACGGTCCAAACGTTCTTTCTGATATTAATTTTTGCCATAATGAGATTCCTATAGAAATTCCTGCTTCCTTGCCAGAAGAAAAATTTTTAACACAAGTCATAAAAACAAAGCCAAATTCATTTTTTGAAGATTTTTCATCCCTTAGAAGACTTCAAAGAGTTTTTGCCTATATACTTAGATTTGTTCACAATTCTGGAAAAAATTCTGGTGAAAAACTTGAGGGAAGTTTGAAGCTTTCAGAACTGGAACACAGTCTTAGAGTAATCATAAAATGTGAGCAAGACTTTTACTTTTCTAATGACATTAAATCTTTACTTTCCAATACCCCTTTAAAATCCTCATTAAACTCTTTGTCGCCGTTCCTAGATGGCAATGGATTATTGCGAGTGGGTGGAAGGTTACATAATTCAAACATTCCATATAATCAGAAACATCCTGTGATCTTGCCCAAGGAAAGTCACATCACCAAATTAATTATAATACAAGAACATTCAACTTTGTTGCACGCTGGACCAAGACAAGTTTTAGGTTCCCTAAACCTCAATTATTGGCTCATAAATGGAATAAGATTAATTAAAAAAGAGCTACACAAATGTGTGATTTGCTTTAAATTCAAAGCAAAATGTTCCACTCAATTAATGGGTTCCTTGCCGGAAAAAAGAGTCTGTTCAGCCAGAGTGTTTCAAAATGTCGGGGTAGATTTTTGCGGTCCCTTCCTCGTTAAGCAATCTCGAATTAGAAAATCCGTAAGTTCCAAGGCATACATAGCACTTTTTGTGTGCTTTTCAGTCAAAGCAATTCATATGGAACTGCTTTCAGACCTGACAACCGAAAATTTTCTAGCTGCTCTGAAGCGTTTTATTTCGCGGAGGGGGAAGCCCGCAAATATTTTCTGCGACAATGGTTCCACGTTTAAAGGAGCCGAGAATAAAATCAAAGAGTTTTATAACGAAACAGAAAAAATTGAAAATTATTCCCTTCAGGAAAAAATTACATTTAATTTTATACCGAGCTATTCTCCAGTTTTTGGTGGTTTATGGGAAGCTGGAGTAAAATCGGCAAAATTTCACATCAAGCGAGTCATAGGTAGCAATGAGCTTACCTATGAACAATTTAATACTCTTATTGTCCAAGTAGAAGGAATCACAAGATCCTTCAGATTTGGACTATTTGACCCCTGGTCATTTTTTGATAGGTGCGCCTATCACAAGCTTTCCTGACCCTGATTTGACGGAAATTCCCCAAGGTCGACTTAAGTTTTGGAAATTGTGTGTCCAGATGCAGCAGCATTTTTGGAAAAAGTGGTATCACGACTATCTAACGCAACTCCAAAATAGGCCAAAATGGCGTGATGAGATGCCTAACCTTAGGGAGGGCTTGTTAGTCATTTTAAAAGAGGATAATGTACCTTCTTATAAGTGGCCAATGGCAAGAATAGTTAAAGCAATACCTGGAAAGGACGCCAAAGTAAGGGTTGTCGAAGTGAAAACCAAAAAAGGTATTTATCTCAGATCGGTTACCAAGATTGCAGTGTTACCGATTGATGACAATAATTGTTAATAATATTTTTGAAAATTATTCACAAAATTCTGTACATATATTTGTAAAACATTTAGATTTATATTTATATTCAATTAGCTATACTCGTATATACATACTATGTGTTCCAGAAATGTTTTTAGCTTTAATTGTTAGTTAAGTTTTCGTTTACTGGATCATCATTGAAATCATACCTTTTTTTAAAAAAAAGGTTGCTTACTTTCTCTTTAATTTTTTTTTATTTTTTTTTGCTGGAAAATTTTACCTTGGTTTCATGTGAAACTCTAGGCCCCCCAGCATGTTGGAAACATGTTCCAACAATCATGCTATCTCTTTTTGATGGCAAAATATTTTTATACATATAAAGTTTGCAACACTGCAGCGTTGTCGTCATGTCTATTTTGTCATGTCTGTCAATATATTGCGCGCCATTTTTGTCATTGCAGCAGTGTAGCTTGGAGCTTGTCCACGTTAACAAGCATCCAGAAACCTTTTCACATTTTAATAAATTTTATAATCTAGCTCTGCCCTGTTGGGCATCTAAGCAAGCTCTGGCTTCTTGTCATCTTGTAGTAGTAATTGTAAATAGTGTAAATATTGTGTAAATTGTTGTAAATATAGTGTCAGTGAAAAGCGCGTGTGTTTTAGTTCCCTATCCAGTCGATCATCCAGTCCACCTAATTATACAGTCCACTAATTATCAAGTTATTTATCTTCCATTATGTGGTTTTGCACACATATGACAACGAGCAACAGAAAAAAACAACATTCGCCTTTGTGGCATCTGTCTTTCATCGCTACATTTTTTTGGCAGATATGGCAATGTGTGCGCAATCCAGTTATTAGCTATAGTTCATAGGTGTAAATAGTTTAGATGGTTTCCAATGGTTGCGTTCCAAAATCCATTTCAACACTTTTCTAATCTGCGATCACCTGAATCTGCAATAACTGCACCGCACTAACGCTAACCGGTTCAGACAAATCTTACGTTTCTCGACTGCGATTGATTTGACTTGGGAAATGATCTTAAAAAAAAAACAGACTTTACATAAATCGACGAAAAAACAAGCACAAGCTGAATCGCAAGGAACCCAGCGAGGCCTCCAGGTGACGTCACCACTATAAGCTGTTAATACTGGTGACGTCATTCGTAGGCTCTACCGTGTTGCGAACGTAGCCTATTTAGTTTACTCGATTAACCATTTCAGTACAGAGACTATGAAAATTTGGTCTGGAGGGCAAACATTAATTTATAGCCAATAATGACAATATTTTGGCATTTTCGTCAAGTTTTTAACCTAGAAAGCTTCGGATGACACTATTTTGCCATTTTTCCACCCGTTTTTAACCAAGGTGGGTTCGGCCTGCTCACTCCGTGCACTCATAAAATCATCGAGTAAAATAATTGATCTGATTTTTAAATTCATTAACCTGATGGAAAAATTTCTTTGACAAAGTTAAACAGAGGCAAAGGCATGATATTATTCATTATTATGGAGGAATCGAAGTTAATTTATAGTACCTAAAAAATCTGGGGGCGGATTACGAACTCTCGATTCGAACCGAAACCGCCATGGATTTCGAACGCATTCTGATGCATTCGCATGGAGTGCGTTCGAAATCCATGGCGGTTTCGGTTCGAATCGAGAGTTCGTAATCCGCCCCCTGTTCTTACTCCATTCCAACTCCGTGCTGAATAGCCGAACCCAGCTCTAGAAGAAAGCTTTAAATTTGACAACAAAATAGATTGGTTGCTCTACAGCGTGACGTCATACTGAAATGGTCAATTACAATTCTTGAGGCTATGTTTCGATATCAACTGCCAGTACATTTACTATTTACTGGGCTGATTTTATTGTCATTTGCCGTTCCGATTTCAGCAGCGTACTCTGGGGTCATTCGGTACTGAATCCAGTGTACTGAAAATAATATCGGAACGGCGACAAATTCAGTCTGTGACAGTTGATATCGGAACTTAGCCTGGAATTCCTGAATCTTGACCTAACCCTAATCTTATGTTTATGTTATGATATTTTCATTTTGTCTTGTATCTCTAACTACAAACTAACAATAATGTCCATAAATTTAGATCTGAAACTTAAAAGGGCCGACAAAGTTTATAGTCAAGAGGTAAAATCAATTACACAAAAAAAAATAAAACTACTTGTGTATTATTTCAGGAAGTAATAAGTGGGGTAATTGAAATTGTCTCAAATTCGGACTTCAAGCACGACGGAATCACTTTAACCGTGGAAGGTTGTGTGAATTTACAAATAAGCTCGAAAAATGTTGGAATATTGGAAGCCTTCTACAATTCTGTTAAAGTATGAACTAGGTTTTAATCAAATCAAAACTATTTACATAAATTATTGCAGCCAATCCAAATAATCAACTTGACCTGTGAAGTTATAGGCCCCAGCCGCCTACCATCAGGAACCACAGAAATTCCTTTTCAAATACCCCTCAGACCTAAAGCAAACACAGTTTTTTACGAGACATACCATGGGGTTTACGTTAATATAAGTTATTCCATAAGGTGTGACATGAAAAGATCATTTTTATCAAAAGATTTGCAGAGATGTCAACAGTTTTTAATACATTACAAGCCAAATAGTCCTAATTGCCCTCAATTGCCTTTAAAAGACAACAGGAAGAGTGTCACTTTTGAGCTGAGCCCAGCCAAATTAACTTCAGGAGCAGCTGGTAAGGTCGGATTTGGTTCAATACATAAACCTAAACAATAATAATACTTTCAAGGTGCTCCAGATTTTTTACTCAAAGGCTACCTGGAAACGGTGTGCTGTAGCATCACGAAGCCCTTCAAGGGCCATTTGACTTTAGTCAAGTGCGCGGCCCCCGTCAGGTCAATCGAACTGCAATTAGTCAGAGTGGAAACTTGTGGCTGTGCCGAAGGCTACGCTCGTGAAGCCACAGAAATTCAAAATTTGCAAATAGGTGACGGTGATGTTCCTCAGAATATTGCAATACCTATTTACATGGTGTTTCCTAGATTGTTCACTTGTCCCACGTTGATTACTACTAATTTTAAGATTGGTAAGTTCACTCAAAACCCCTACCTGGAACACCTAAACTAAAAAAGAGGAAGGAAACAAGATAGGTATTTGATACTTAGTGCCTTTTTCCAAATTGCTTGAAAATGGGCGTTTCTGCAAGTGGTTACTGAATTTCATAAGCCAATTCAAATTTATCTAGATTCTATGTATGTCTACGCCTACCTACTCAGGGTAATCGATGGATAATTTGATCCAAATGTGTGTATCATTAAAAAAGTTACAGCAATTTGAAAAATTGGCGTTTAAAATCAATATTCCTAACATTTTTTCATGTGAGGGGTGAGGGGCTTAAAAGATGGTTAAGGGTAATAATGTTTTATTTTGTTTCAGAGTTTGAAATCAATATTGTCGTCGTTTTTGAGGATAATCATTTAATTACAAACAATTTTCCTATTATATTAGTTAGAGAATAAGTAAATAAAACAATCACATACATTCAACTTTTTTATGTTCTGTATCAGGTCTGTTTCTGCAGAAATCACAAACCAGTCGGAGCGAATTTCATTGGTTGAAAACAGTCAGAAGCAGTCAGAAAACTAGTTTCAACCAATGAAATTCACTCTGACTGGTTTGTGATTTCTGCAGAAACAGACCTATCATAAATTGTTGCTACCTGTTGCTACATATTACAGCCATATAGGCTGTTTATTTGTACTGCTTTTCTTGCTTCAAGCAGATTTCAGCAGCTGATCGGCGTTCACTTGTCCCAGAACTCCCATATAATAAGCTCTCAAATAGCAAGTACAAATGAACAGCCTAATAGTGTGGTGCCATCACCTAGAAGTGGGCGAGCACTGATAGGTATTCATGCCTAGAGGGGTAACCTCAATTGATATTAGGTCTGTTTCTGCAGAAATCACAAACCAGTCAGAGTGAATTTCATTGGTTGAAACTAGTTTTCTGAATGTTTTCAACCAATGAAATTCGCTCTGGCTGGTTTGTGATTTCTGCAGAAACAGACCTATAAGCTAGTATTGTCCGTCGTTTTTTATCTGACACTTTCCGTATGAGAGCGAGGAGGTGAACCATATGGCAAAAACCAGGCACAAACAGGTGTGACATCAGGTAACCATTGGCGTTTTAGCGTAGGGAGCCACCATAGTAGGAGAGCCGGCAATATTAACGCGTATGTGATCATTGCAATGGATAATTTTCACATAAAAGAATAGCTCATAGTTACCTTTAAACTAAATGGATGGGTGGCCTCGATTCTCATGGCCGCAACCCTTTGATGGCTGGGCGTAAACTACCCCTCTTTTTCCGAAGGAACAATGTTATCGTTGCAATAGCTGAAAATTGGTAGATATATACTTTAATATGCCTTTTCAAGTAATATATAGGGTGGCCTCGATTTTGATGGCCGGAAATGATGACAACCCTCATTGAAAGTCGAGGGCACGCGTTATTTTGCTAGCTAAATACAAATTTTTGATAGTGACAGCCTTCAAAGTCACTTTCAAAGTTAAAAGAGGACTCTGTGAAGAGGATTTTGCATACAGCTGTATAGGTCTTTAGACAAAAAAGAAACATGAAATTGTGTTAATAAAGTGTTTGCCGCATATGATGAGAACCCCCTACACCGCAAGGTATTGTTCGTCGATTTTTAACTGACACTTTCCGTATGAGGAGCGAGGGGGTGTTTCATGTGGCAAAAACAGGTGTGACGTCAGGTAACCATTGGCGTTCTAATGTAGAGAGCCACCAGCTCATATTCCGTCCGAGTATCAGATTAAAATCGACGGACAATACTTCTTATTTGTTGCACTGTGAATGGACCCTTCTCGGCTGGAGAGAGACGTCAATGGTTATATCTTGGCCGATGTGATCCTGCAACCACTGAAGGAAACATAATTGAATATATGAATCAACAGCTTGGCATTTCGGATGTGAAATGCTTTATTCTGGATAAAAACGAAGATGTGATATCATTTAAGATTGGGGTCAAGGAATCACTCTTGAAGGGCGTGCTGGAGCCCAATCTTTGGCCCGTTGGAACGGCTGTCAAGGAATTTCGAGCCCGGCGCCCTCTTAATAATAATAATAATAGTATTAAGTCAACAAATTTTCAACAGCGGGATTTGGGAGGCAGTCAGACCTAGAATGTGCATCAATCTTTTATCAAAACGTCAGAGGCCTAAAAACAAAGCTTAAAGATTTGTTCTGCGCTGCACTTATTGAGTCATATTCTGTCATTGCATTCACTGAGACTTGGTTGGATTCATCTGTCAATGACTCCGAGTTTCTGCATTCTTCTTACACTGTGTACCGAACTGATCCATGTGCCATTAATAGTACAAAATGCCGGGGTGGTGGTGTCCTACTCGCAGTAAAAAACTTCTTGAAATCTAGCCTCCTGTCACTTGGTGATTCTACAATCGAAGAAGTTTGGGTATCTATAACGATTGGAAATTCTGTATACTGTGTGGGCTGTGTATATGTGCCACCATCGATGGATATTTCATATTATGAACTTCACTTGAAATCGGTATCTTCTGCTTGTAATAGTTTTAAAAATGTTTTAGTTGTAGGCGATTACAATTTGCCACAAGTAACTTGGTCTCCAGGAGAGGATTATCTCGGACTTGTGCCGGGTAATGTCAGTCTGCAAAAGAAATCTTGCTGTGCGATACTTTCGCGTTCTTGGGCTTATCTCAATTTAATCGCATATCGAATGAAAATAACTCTATATTAGATCTTTGTTTTGCCAACTTTGACCTAAATTCAATCGATGAATGTGTTGGTTTGGTAAATTGTGATCGCTGTCATCCTGCTTTATTACTGTCAATTCAATTTGAGAAAACAAATTATTTAAAAACTGCTAATAACTTTTTTTACGACTTTAAGTCCGCTGATTTTGAGCTAATGAACAATTATTTTTTGTCCTATGATTGGTTGTCGATTTTAAACGATAATTTAGAGATTACCATAAGTAACTTTTACTCCGTTGCATTCAATTGTTTTGATTTGTTTGTGCCTGTTAAGCAATGCCGCTCCAACGACAGATTTCCTATCTGGTTTTCAAGTGAATTGAAATCCCTAATTTTTCAAAAAAAAGTAGCTCACAAAAGGTTCAAACAATCAAATTCAGTTATGGATTTTAACTTATTTTCTCTGCTTTGCAGACAATGCTTATCCCTGATCAAGGAATGCTACAGTCTTTACATAACAAACACTGAAGATTCAATCAAGGAGAATGCCGGGTACTTTTGGAACTTTGTTCGTTCGCAGTCAAATCAAGGCTCCATCCCTAGGGAAATGTTTTCTGGCTCAAATAAGGCTGATAATGGTTATAACATATCCAATCTCTTTGCTGATTTCTTCTCATCAGTTTATAATCCTAAAACCATTTCTGATGCAAGTGTTTCTTCCGTTTCTTCAACACACACCTTTCAATCAATTTCTGATATTCAGATCACTGCATATGACATTGAAAAATCGCTCTCTGAACTCGACATAAATAAAAGAGAGGGACCTGATGGAATCCCAGAGTGTTAAAACTTTGCTCCCATTCTCTGTATCTTCCCCTCTATTACATATTTTTTAAGTCTCTTATCTCTGGAGTGTTCCCAAAAGTCTGGAAATTGTCATATGTTTGTCCCATCCACAAATCAGGAAGCAGGAACAATGTGTCTAATTACAGACCAATTAGTATCCTCTCAGCAATACCCAAGCTATTTGAGCACTGTATAGAAAAAGTTTTGTCGGTTGCCTTCCATAGTTCCACAGTCATAGTAAATCAGCAACATGGATTCACCTCCGGCCGCTTCGTTGATATCAACTTGTTTCTATTCACTAACTTTATCAATAGATCATTCGAGAACGGTTGTGAGATACATACTATATATACTGACTTTAGTAAGGCCTTTGATAAGGTCAATCATGCTCTTCTACTCTCAAAGTTGTCCGGTTATGGCATTGCGGGTACTTTGATTTCTTGGTTGGAGTCTTATTTGTCAGGTAGGATTCAGCAGGTGAGAATTGATGGTTATCTCTCGGATAAGTTCGATGTCACATCTGGGGTTCCTCAGGGATCTCATTTGGGACTTTTCTTGTTCAGTTTATTCATCAATGACCTGGGCCATCTACTTTCCTCCAATTTTCTGATGTTTGTGGATGATCTAAAGATATTTCGGGAAGTATCATCAACTCGTGATATTCTTCTTCTGCAAAATGATCTGGACATTGTATACGATAGGTGTAACCTCAACGACATGTCACTCAATATCGACAAATGCTGCTTTATGCGCTTCACCCGTTTGATGAATACTATACCTGTGGAATATTCCATTAATCACGTTGCTCTTGCTGAGGTATTTGTTGTTAAGGACCTTGGCGTTTACTTGGACACTAAACTTACGTTCATCGAGCACTTTGAGTATATAGTAGGTAGGGCTAATAGAATATTAGGTTTTATCAAAAGAACCAGTAAAGACTTTAGGAGTGTGTTTGCTCTGAAGGTGTTGTATACGTCGCTGGTTCGATCCATCCTTGAATTTTCAAACATAATTTGGTCGCCATATTATCAGGTTCATATAAATAGACTTGAAAATGTTCAACTTAAATTTATAAAATATGCTAAATATAAACTTTTTTGCAATGGTATTGAACTTGATAATGATCAGACTATGTTATACCTAGACTTAGCATCTCTTGTTCGCAGAAGAGAATACTATGACATATGCTTTGCATTTAATGTTCTAAACTACTATATCAAGAGTCCAGAATGTTTGGAAACTTTTCGATTTCGTATACCTGGATATCCAACACGTAGGCAGACCTTGATGCATATACCAATTTGTAATTCTTGGTACTTATTGTATAGTCCTGTTAACAGAGTATCAGCGAATGTGAATAAGTTTTGTGAGTCATTATTATAGACCGGTGCATAACGACCATTTTTTCAAAACGATTTTCTCCCGTCTGCCATTAAGGGTGGTTATTCTTTATGCAGTAAGAAGTGGAATGGCTGAAATTTCAAAGAGCCCCGCGTGTGACAATACAATGATATGCTAATTTGAAAATGTAATGAAAAGTGGAGATGTGGATCAATATTATCCCGTCTGCCACACATTGTGAAGGTAATTTTAACAAAAATTAGTAGAAGGATGCTAAATGGCGGCAACCCTGGGTTAGTATAAAGTGTCATATTACTAAATTCAAAATGTCACCAAAATCGGACATGTGGATCAACGACCTCCCGTCTGCCAAATTAAATGTATGTTACATTTACGATGTAATACATCAATAAGTAAATGGCAGAAAATCTCGGTTGGTATAATAATATTTAACAATTTTTGAAGTTGTATCAAAATGCTGAGATGTTGAAACAATTTTCTCCCATCTGCCATTTGGAAGATAAGTTTGACATGCAAAGTAAAATCCAAGAAATATATTGGCAGATGTATCCAAGGCATATTAACAATTGGCAGAAACAA